TGAAGGGGCGAGGGGCATTTCTGCGGCTGGGGTCGCTGTGCGGCCGCAGCTCTCTGCTGGGGTCCTGGCAGCCCGGGCACTGCCTGGCGCCCGCGCTTAACGCGGTGGCCTCCTCTACCAGGTTCCCCTCTCTGTCTCGAAGACATTGGTGTAAATGGGCCAGGAGCGCTTGGCCTTGTAAATTAACGCCTCACCCAATTTTGCCGAATTATGGCAAATTACAAACAAACTCAACTTCTCTCGGGCACATAACCTAACCCGACCGAGCTTGCTAGTTCTAAACGGTCCACCTGGCTCTAAAGAAAAATTGACGCCTTAATGTAAAATGAAATAAATCAGACACACAAGCCTATGTCATGACTTCTCTTGTATGAGAAACCCAAAGGACAAATCAAGAGCAAAATAAAAGACAATAAGAAACAGGATGATACTTTTGCAAACGGGAAGGGAACAGAAAAAAGATGTGGGCTGGGGATGTAGTAGTTCAGTGGCACCGCGCCTGCCTCGCAAGCGCAGGTGCAAGGTCCCGAGTTCGATCCCCAGTACAAAAAAAAAAAAAAAGAATGAAGATGTGTTGTGTACACATACCAACTCCCCCAGAGGAATGTGATCATTCTGTTCCACAAACATGTTCTAATAAAAAAGTGTCCGCAAAGAGAAAAGACTTTTATACCTTGCAAATAGTCACTATCTCAGGCCTTCAGCAGCTAGCCCGCCTGTGGCCCCCAGCCTGTGCGGGAGGCTCTGGGTCTGGCTGCCTCTTCCATGGCCAGCCCTAAGCCACTTCCGGACCAGCACTCTGGGACCTGACCTCACCGGAAACAGCCTCCTCCAAGGGGCCATACAAGAGGAAGGGCCAAACACAGACCTGACTTGGAACAGCCACCCTCCAGCACTTTAACGGAAACAAACTGCTCATGCTAGGACAAGCACCTAACACACAGTGGGCTCTTTAAAATGGGATTACCCAGCCGTCCAGAGCTTAACATTATCACGCATTATTTAGAAGTAATAAGACCTCAGCTTTTGACTGCAGCTCACCAAAACATACAAATCAAACTAGCAAGCTTCCGCCTTCAGTCCCCCAAGTGGAGGCAGTTTTGGTGCCTGCCTGTAATCCCAGCACTCGGGAGGCTGAGGTAGGAGGATCCCTGAGTTCAGACCAGCCTGAACTACAGAGTGAGCTCCAGGTCAGTCTCAACTACATAGTGAAACCTTGTGAGGGCAGAAGGGCTGGGGAATGTAGCTCCAGTGTGAAGGCCCTGGGTTCAGTTTCCAATATTCAAAGAAAAAAACGGGGCGGGGGGACTTTCCTTGATTAATGAAAGCTACTTCTTAGTTCCCATAACCGCCCACAGGAAGGCTCTCTTCTCTCAGCACCAGGCCCATTTATCCAGCCCAAGCCCCAGCTGCTGAATTAGCTGGTTTTGCATGCTTGCTATGCAGCCTTCTAAGAATGGAATGAAGCTAATGTAGTGGGCAGGGTATACTGGGAAACCAAGCCCAGGCTGCAGTCAAGGTGACCAGATGGCCAATCTTGTCTCCAGCTACTTGGCTGGTAAAACTAACACCTGCCTGGAAGGAATCAGACTGCCTCGCAGGATACAAAAACTACCCCCCACCCTTTCCAGGTATACAACTTCCTCCTCAGTATTGAACGGTCCTGCTACAGGTCTCTGGACAGAATCTGAGCAGTGTTGCTAGCTAATCAAACTGGCACACACCCTCCAATTGAAATTCCATTATTCTTGTTTTAATCACAAAACTGTATAGAGGTTTCCCTCAGAGTTGCTATAAAGTATCTACCTTGGAAGCCTTCATACCCACAGCCATGTATTCTAAAAGGAGTCATTTCTGCTGAGGTGGGCAGAGACTCTTGAAAATGAATATTCACTCTTCCAAGAACTCATTAGTAGGGCAAGGTGGAATAAGCTGTACTTGCAGCATTCTGAGGCTGAGGCAGGAGGATTCCCAAGTTACAGCCCAACCTGGAGCAACTTAGTGAGATCCTATCTCAAGATTTTAAAAAGGCTGGAGATGGAGGTGGAGCTCAGTTCCAAGGTCCTGGTTCAATCCCCAGTACTGGAGGCAGGGAGAGCAAAAACAAAAACCTGAATGCTGGGTGGAAGGATTCTCTAGCATGTGAGCCCGAGGGGAAAATAAAACACTTGTTTTCAGGAAACACTAGCCTAGAAGGCTTACCCTTTCTTTCGGTACCAGGGATCAAACTCAAGACCTTGTGCTTGCGGGGCGGGTGGCAGAACTGAGCTAAAATCCCCAGCCCAAGCTTACCCTTTGTAAATAACTGTATTTTTGTGACATTAATGAAGGACTCATAGCAATAATTTTGTAAAGGTAGAACCATCAGGCTTGTTTCTGGAAGCATGCAAGATTGAAATTAGCTAATTACAAAGCAATAGTGATAGATTACTAAGTGAATCCATAAGCACAACTGTTACAAGTCTGGTAATCTAAGAGACCCCAAAAGTCAATAATGGGGTCAGGAAGGCAGCTTAGCAGCAGTGCCTGCCTGGCAGGTGCAAAGCTGATTCCCATGGTGGTGGTGGTAGAGGTGTATATATATGGTCCAGATGGTCTGGTACACAGCAGAAGTCTGTCAGCCAAACATGATGCTGAGAATCTGGACCACTTAAGCTCTACATTGTAAAGGCCAGAGTCAGGTGGATATTAAGAATCTGTTCCAGAGGTCAGGTCTAACAAGATCTTGCTATGTAGTGTAGGCTTATGTTAAAGTATGGAGTTCAAGCTGGCCTTGAACTCAAGGTGCTCCTCCTGCCTTAGCCTGGGATTACAGGTGTGTGCCACCATACCTGGCTTAAAGTTGTCTTTCTGGAATTATTGAAGCAATGAGTGATCTTTTGTTTGGTTTTGTTTTGTGGTACCTGGGATCAAACTCGGGACCTTGCCCTTGTGAGGCAGGCAGCATCACCACTGAGCTAAATCCCTGGGCCTAGAAATAAGTCATCTTAACTGTGGAGGTGGCCTTTAACAATTTTAAGTTTTTAAACTGATGGATACCTTGTCCTCTATCCCAATTCACGCAGTTACTAAGTGTCCCTCGCATGAGCGGAGTATGGTGTAGCTTTAGGAAAGCACTGAGCAGTTTAGCAGAAAGGAAATAAACTCAACAGCAGGTAGCTCCTTTACTCTGCAAAGGTGCCCCACCATGTGCTGCCCACCTTTACCATACTCCCCAGGGCCAGACCTGGAAGCCCTCACACTGGGCACTCTAGGACAGCTCAGGAATTCACATCACCATTTCAATTTCACAGCTTAAGCCACTTTCTGTCTAATTTATGATCCACCCCCAAATGATAGCTGCCTGCAATGCGGTGGCTGGAGCTTGTAACCCCAGGTACTTGGGAGGCAAGGCAGGGATACTGCTTGAGCCCAGCAGTTCCAGGGAGACCTTGGCAACAAGACCCCATCGCAAAACAAAGAAATGGAGGGCCAGGATTTAGCTCGGTGGTAATGCCATTTGCCCCAGTACTAAAAACAAACAAACAAACATGATGGAGTTCTATAACCTCAGAGTACTAGGGTTTCACACACCTAAAACCATTTATTTGGCAAGCTGTAACTTTGTGGAATACAAGCATTGGCCCCAGTAACTAGTCAATTTCCCGAAGGGAAGAAAAAAAAAAAAAAAAAAAAAAAAACACTTTGTCTCCTTACTTATTCCAGGCAGGCCTTACAATTACAGCAATTCTGACACTGACACGTCAACTAGGGCAGCTGAGTCAGGAAGTACAAATAAGCCTAGAAGTTTCAGACCATGTCTCCAAAAGAAAAAAACCTACCAATCATGTACCAAGCAGTTAAATCCCTTTTATGTAGATTAACCTATGCTAGAATCTGTACTCAATAGATCACCCCCCTTTCCCAACACTCAGATCAAATCCAAAAGAAAGTAGCATTTCTCTACAAAGCAAGGAGAATGACCCCAGTCCAAAAAAATCTTTATGTTCCTTTATTGGAGCAAGATTCCCGACCAGTATACAGTGATGTGTTATACACTACCCATCTCGACAGGTTAGGGTTACACTTTGCCTACTGATGGAATAGTTCCATTTATAAAGTTTTATACATCAAAAAGCTTTGAATTTGACTAGGCTGTCCATTAATTCACCCCTGAAAAAGTGGCATTTAATTTTAGCTCTATTTTACAGCAGTAAAAAGCTTATGCATTAGGAAGCCTCTCAAAATGTTACTCTGCATGGCAGCTTGGAGCAGAGTCCGCGTCCCACCTAGATTCACACAGTGGCATCTGTTTCCTCCTAGATCCCTGGGGCTCCCAACCCTCGAGCAGGGTGCCTTGCACCAACACTCACCAGGTCTGCGCGAGGCACGCAGAAATGTGCCTGTCACATCCAGGTACACAGAGGCCCATTTTAAGAGCTGCCGACTGGAGGTAAGAAGGTTACAACTTGGAACTCAGTTCAGATTCTGGTATCTCGAGTGACATATTTTCAGACACACTGGCAAACTGTACCTGTCCCCGGCTATGGAGACTTTAAGACACTGATTCAAATCCCTTTACCCCATCCGTATAGCCCTGAGGTCGTCCTGGAAAGTGCGTTTTCAAAAATAATGGAGTTAGGTGACAAAGTCTGACAACGGCGTTGTTACAGGTCAAGCTTAGCCCTGTCAATACGTCCATTCTGAGAGAAAACATCAAACCCTTCGCGTACACATGTAGTTTTATTGTAACAAAGCAACTTGTACACTTTGAACGTTTAAAACTGCGCATCACCTTTTCCTTTCCAGTGAAAACAAAAAAGAATTTAAAAATAAACCAACAAAATTACAATAGAGAATGTCAATTCCAAATAAGACCCTACAGGTTCTGCTGATTCTCCCATGGAGTGGCAGGGCTCAAGTCATCATTAGGAGAGAATTTTATTTTAAAAGTGTCATCTTAAACTGCAAGGATGTCTGTTAACATCACAATTAAACATGCCAAAGGAGAAGCCATGTTGTCAAATGCCCGCTTAACCCACCCAAACATCTCAAACCCACCCTTTGCTGACCTTCTATACCCCATTTTTTTAAGATTTTTTTTTTCTTTTTTTAAACAAGAGAAAGTAGACAGGTACGTGTTGGTAAATGCTAACTGTCCATATTCACATAGAGACACAGTGTAATCTCTGAGCCCAATATACAGAGAAAGGAGGAAAAAAGCTAGAATTCTATGCACTACTACACAGGGGCCTAGCACCCTCCAGCTTCCAGCAGAGCAAAGGGAGCAGAAGGGTTTTCTTTTTTCCCACAGAGCACGGTGGTGTTGATTCCATACAGTTTGTGTGGAGACAGACAGGAGGGGATCAAAATGAATTTAGAACAGATGGTTGTAGAGATCCTTTTCCCAATGTATTCTGCTCAAGGCATCTCCCATAAAGTAAGTCAAGAACCATGGTGCTTGAGAAGAGTTCAAGAACAGGGCACAACTGAGCACAGGGGGGGGGGAAGACTGTAACTTGCTCCCAGGGACTGGAGAAAAAAAAAATTTTTTTTTTTAAAATAAAAAATAAAAAAAAAAAAAAAAGGAAAATAATAAAAGAAGGTTGGAACCCATCAGTGTTTGATCAGTCATCTTCTCCTTCATCCTCCTGCAAGAGAAAGTGGGCAGTTAAGTCTTCAGGGTTCATTCTCAGGCTGCCACACCAGCATGAGAGGACTACTTTCTCTGGTGTGCCCAAGTTTCTCAACCTGTACAGTAATCTACATCATATCAGGATGAAAAGCCCAAGATGTTGTTTGATAAATGATTTAACTTTTCAGCACTAACCAAATCTTTGGGCACATTTTGAACCAAATAACCTACCAAGTCAACTATTGCTTGTTTTCCCACCTTCGGTACTGGGGGATCAAACTCAGGACCTTGTGTTCGCAAGGCAGGCGCAGTGTCACTGAGCTAAAAACCCAGCCGTTCTTTTTTGGAATCAGCATCTTGTGTAGCCCAGGCTAGCCTTGAACTCATGGCAATACCCTTACCTAAGCCTCCCAAGTGCTGGGTTTACAGGCAGCACCATCACTCTGCCCCAGTGCTCAACTTGACCATTAAGAATTCTAGTTTTTTTTTTTTTTTTAGAATTGTACAGTTTAAAGCTGGGCATAGTGGCGCACGCCTGTAATCCCAGCCCTCGGAGGATGAGGCAGGAGGATCGCTGTGAGTTTGAGACCAGCCTGGGATACATAGTGAGTTCCAGGTCAGTCTCAACTACATAGTGAGACCCTGTCTCAAAAAACAAACAAAAAAGAATTCTATAGTTTAGGTTGGGGATGTAGTTCAGCAGTAGAGCACTTGCCGAGAAATGTTCAAGGCCCAATGTTCACTACCACAAAACATAACATACATGCAGCTTTTTAATTTGGAAGATATTTCTAAACTTGACCAGCTGCAGTACTATTACTTTCAGTTAGTACTGGCTAGGGAAAGAAACTTTTGCTGTCATAAAATGTAACAGAACTCCTTAAAACATTAACATGAATGAGCCTGTCAGGAGCAGTTCTTCCCCAGCCGGGTGTGGTGGTGCACGTCTGTAATCCCAGTACTCAGGAGGCTGAGGCAGGAGGATCACTATGAGTTTGAAATCAGCCTGCACTACATAGCGAGTTCTAAGTCAGTCTCAACTACATAGTGAGACCCTGTCTCAAAACATGAACATACACACACAGCACGTCCTCCCAGTCAGTTCAGGTCATGCCTACTTCCCTGTCACACCCCTAATGTGGTGTCCTCTTTTTGTAGATTATCTTCTGGGCTTAGCCTACTACTTCTCTTTACCTCTCCTTCCTCCCCTTCATCATCATCTTCATCTTCTTCACCTTCATCCTCATCCCCTTCTTCATCAATGTCTTCCAATCCTTCTTCTTCTTCATCGTCGTCGTCATCTTCTTCTCCTTCCCCTTCCTCGTCATCCATGTCAGGAACCTTGAAACAAGAACTACCTTGAGAACTCACTTTTACACAAGTGACACAACTATTGTTTTGAGAGAACCAACACTCAACTCACCAAGTAGTACTGCAACGGATTTGGCCAAATATCATCTTTGATGACCTCTCCCAACTCATCTGCGCCTGCATCAGAATGGTCGGTAAACCAGGTGAAGAAGCTCTCGGGTTCTTCATGCTGCCTCTTCCTACTGGCTTTATTCTGCGTTTGACTTGAACGTTTCGTCAAATCCTAAGTGAAAAGTGTAAAGAATTTTTGATACAAGCTCTCCACAATACCTAAACTCTGTACAATATAAAAAGTTATAATCCCCCCAAAGCATTAAAAAAAAAAAACCAGCAATATTTACACTACCGTTGTCTAACTGAAAACAATCACAAAGTGCATAGTGAGCAAAGAAACTGAAGATTTTCCAAGAAAGTATCAACTAAATTTGGCTTTTCCATAAAAATTTATCCTATATTATAAAAAGATTGCTCCACATCAGCTATAAGCACTCACACAGTAGATGCGCCTCCAAATGCACCTTACTACTTAAATGTAATCTCTAATTACTCTTCCAAACTACAAATCTGATTTCAACACATTGAGTTAACATTTTTAAAATGTTTAACAATCGACAAAATCCAAGTACTGCATAAGTAGCCCTACCAAGCCCACACACATAAAATGTTCCAATTGTCCAAGAACTACTCAAAAACACACCTTTCCAGATTTCCATTTGATCTCAGTGGACTTTGAAGATGGATCCCCACTCTCATTCAGATGAAATTCTTTGGAGAGAACTTTATTTTCGAAGTAAGGATTTTCATCAAAATACTGTAATTACAAGATGACGTATCAGTATAAACAGCTATATAAAGCTCAAATTAATTTCTAGTGTCCAGAATGATTATGAATACTTACAAAATCTATTCTGTAACCTGATTTTATATCTTCAAATTCTGTCACTTCAACTCTGGTCAAATAATGCAACGCCTCTTCATCTTCCTCCCCAAGCAGTGCAGACACTAGACCAGGAAATTACAGATCAGTTTAAGTTTAAACAAGTGAATGTTAACTTAAAAGCAAGTCCTTTTTAAGTTTTTAGTGATTCATTATGTTTCATTTTAAAAAACCACTAAGAAATGCCAAAATTTTCAGAATCACAACTGTGACTGTTTTTCATCAGGTAATTACACAGTCCTGAGCTAAACAGAGAAAAAGCATTCCAGTGTTCTCCCCTGAAGATTTCAACCTGTTCTGACCATAACATACCTTGTGGATGGTTAACAAATGTTGTTACCCAAAAGTTTGGGATTTTGGCGATCAATTCTGACCTCTTCTGAAAAAATGGTTGGCGGAGTTTGTTATATTTCTGTTCTACTTTCAATATCTCCTCACTGGCTTGTTCATTAAGTCTGAAGCAAATGAAGACATGTCAGCAATGACTTATTTGACAAACTGCTTGACTATAGAATGGATATTCAGCACTAGGAAGACTCAAAAATCCGTTTTTAATAACCAAATCACCTAGTTTGTAGCTACAGATACAAAACTAAGATACAACTTTCTTTTTATCAAGGGACACTTAAGAGTACTGGTTGTTAAAAACTCCCCAAAATGAACATTTTGGTAACAATGTATATGTATTAACTTGATCTATCTCCTGACTTTCCAAGCAAACTTACAATTGTTTCCCTCAAGCAAGATTTCTAAAGGAAACTAAGCAACAATGTTACAAGTCAAGTTAGTTCATTCAACACAGACACAATGTTAAATTATGAGAAATCCTACACAATTATTCAGAGATTTGTAGCTTTTAAAATCAAACACAATCATTACAGTCAATGTGCTTTTAAGAATCATATTCTGTGACTGTATACTTCACGGAAAAATTACACTGACTATATCTAGTATTCCCAACAAATATAAATCATCTTCCCATAACCATCAAATAGATTTGCGTATTTCAAAGATATCAGGCAACTAGATGCATTTTTAAAAATGCCCAAATAAACGAAAAACTTTACCTGTCTATTTCATTTTGTACTTCATCAATATGTTCAATTGCTTCTTGTTGTTCTTTTTCTGCAAAAAAAGGGAGCATAAAACAATACTAACAACTGGTTTTCTTGCCATTTAGACAGAAGAGGCGAACATAAAGCTGATTTTAAGAAGTGCACACTTCAAAGCGTGCTCTCCACGTGTTCATGCACTTAGTTGACAAATTACTTTTACATTAAGGGACCGTTCACAAAGCATAGTATCTGCTAGGCTACTGCAAATGATTCGCGGTAGTTACTTCCACAAAGAACAAAACAAAACAAAAAAACAGTTCCAATACAAGAACACAAGATTCCAAATTGTTTTTTCAGGAAAGATCAGGCCTTAAACCTACTCAGAAATTCCTGATGCATACTACTCAGCACATTATACGCTGGCAACGGAACGCGGGCTGCTACCCAGAATTTGGAAAGTAACCCACAACGATACACCCACCCCCATCACTTATCTCAGAGGTACACACTTTTTACAGAAAGTTGAAGATTCTGGTTACTGACCAGCACGGTGAAGCTACTAAGGCACAACCGCAGAGCTAAGGCCTCATCTGCCTCACCGCCACAAACCCTACACTCGGGGGTCCCAGAACAGAAGCCCCGGATTCGAAAGCGACCTTCCCCGCCGCTCCAAGCCAGTCCCGGCGGAAGGATCGCTTAGGCTGGCCCGCGCGATTCTGGAGCACACTTACTGGGGAATAACTACGGGCTCAGCAAACTACGGGGCGTGGGAAGAGGAGCGAGAGGAGGAGGTGTGCTCCCGTTCGGTGCCCTTTTGTCCAGCAGGGACTGCAAGAGCCCCACAGCGCTAAGGGGGCGTGCAGGGCCCGATCGCGCGGGTCATTTCCGGTAGCTGCCCGGGCGTCCGCAGCG